GGGGGGGGGAGAAAGAGAAGGGGAGAGAAAGAGAGGGGGAACGAGAGAAAGAAAGTGGGGGGGAGAGAGAGGGAGAAAGAGAGAGGTTCTTTTGAGGTTCTTTCAAATAAGAGACTGGACTGCCATCAGTCAGAAATTGTGTAGGGCAGCGGTCCACAAACTTGGCAACTTTAAGACTTGTGGACTTCAACCCCCAGAATTCCTGAGCTAACATAAGTGGAGGATGAGTTCTGGGAGTTGAAGTCTACAAGTCTTAAAGCTGCCAAGTTTGAAGACTCCTGGTCTAACTTTTCCTCAGTCTGGGGATCCCCCAACGGGGTGGATTTCAACATCCAAAAATCTGGCGACGACCAGGCTGGTTTGGAATTCTGGGAATTCCTGAGGTCCGAACATCTGAACTGCCCCATGAAAATAGCTGAGATGCTTCACAATTGAGAGCAAGGGTCCCCAAACTTGGCAAGTTTAAGACTTGTGGACTTCAACTCCCAGAATTCCTGAGCTAACATGACTGGAGGAGGAATTCTGGGAGTTGAAGTCCACAAGTCTTAAACTTGCCAAGTTTGGAGATCTCTGATTTAGAACCAAGAAAATAAAGGCTGCATCTCAGTTTAGCTGGTGGTGTAAAGATACAGTGAGGCCATTGAGGATTGAAAGGGAGGGAGAAGCCTTTCTAATTGCAGCCTGACCCATGGGCTTAGTTCCACTTTTTCTTCTTTTTTGCGGTTTCTGATTTGTGGTGGGAATTAAGATAATAGGCCAAGCTTTGTTCGCCCGGGCTCGGGGTATTTTTTTTTCTTCCCCCCACCGCTCCAGTCTATGCCTGCCAAGAAGACAGCTGTGGGGGGAAGTCAAAAGTTGGTTTGTCTGAACAAATGTCTGTTTCCTGCTAAACATTAACCAGTTTGCTCCTGAGCGAAGGATGTCTTTTAGGATGGTTACAAAATGGAGGAACTCAGCTGATCACTTTTAGATTTAACAGAGTTGGAAGGGACCTTGTAGGTCATCTTGTCCAAACCCTGCCCAAGCAGCAGACTCTACGCCATCTCTGACAGATAGCAGTCCAATTCTTCTTGAAAGCCTCCAGTGTTTGAGTGAATTTCTCTACTTGGATACTATAGAAACGATCTCTGAAAGTATAGATATCGCTGGAGAAAGACACGAGGGCTAGACCAACGGATCTCTTGTCCCACTGAAGTTGTCAGTAGAGAAATGACGAAGGTTGATTTGTTTACTTGGTTTTGGATGAAGATACCGCGTTTCCCCCGTCTTTTATTTTATTTTTATTTTTTTGCCACCAAAAAAAAGGCACCAGGTCTTATTTGGGGGGGGATGGCATCCACTGACTTGCGCACGTCACTGGCCCCACCAGCTAAGTCAATGGGGGAAAGCCAGATTTGATAAACAACACTTAACAACTGCAAGGATTCATATAACCGTGGCCAAAAAGGTTGTAAAATTGGGTGTGATTCACTTGCTTAGCAAGGAAGTTCTGGTTCCAATTGCGATCATAAGTCAAGGACTATCTGTAATGGAAGCTTATCAGAATGAATGAAAAATCCTAAAAGGGAAATGAATGCGGGAAACTCTCTTTTACTGAAGCCAGAACCTGGGACTGATTTATACCGTATCACACAGTAGATGGTGGCTTCTGCAGTTTTTTACATAAATAAAACTCACCCTGCATGCAGAAAAATAGCAGAACCATTTTAATGTTCTTCCTCTCTGTTTTTTTGCTTTATTGTATCGCTCTCGTTATGTTAGTATGGAACAACTTTCGACTGATTTTGGATTTTTTAAAAAATGGAAGCCTTTTGCTTTTATTTCTGTATGAACTTTAAATGGTTCATGGAGGAAACTTGGCCTAAGGGGTTTAGTACAATTATCTACACAGGATTACGCTAAGATGTGCCTGGATGGTTTGAGTCTGTTTGATAAGTTAGCAAATTAAAATACAGAGAAACAAGAATGCAGTACAGATTTTAACAGCTGTTGCTCATGGAATCCACCAATATTTAACTCAATTTTGGGAAACCGCAGTTTTAACAGGGAACCATGTATAAGGGTGTAACTATCTCATATTGTATGGAAGTT